AGCAAGTAAAAGGTAAAAACATTAATACTGGGAAAGTTGATTATTTTACCAAGGGGTGGGACTACCTGCATTTGAATTTAGGATATATATTTTCTTATGCAGGCCAGAATTTTTCAGGCAATTCTGAACAGAAATGTGTCTGAGGACTGGCGTTTCCTTTTGAGTTTTAGCATAACTAACCCAGGGCACCATGTAACATTTCACCCCTCCACTTGGGTGTCCTCTAGTCACCACTTCATTAACATTTTTCCTAAATTCCATGTTGGAAGGAAAAAATAAAACTGGAAGGAATCACTAGCTTCTTTAAGAAGAAAATGAAGAGAAACATTCAGAAACACACTGGGGAAGACATATCTATAAAGCCACTGTGCGGAAGCCCAGTCTGTGTACTGAGAGCCTGCCCGTGCTGTAACGCCGATTAGAAATCTCTTCATCTTTTAGAACACAGCTCTGGAATGCTTAGGACAAATGCTAAGCTCATCAGCTGCTACTCATTTAAAACAGTCATTCTAAAGGGAAGAACATTTGAAAGGTACAGGGAAATTTAAAAAACTGGAGCCATTCAAGTAGGTGTACAAAGTGTTTTAGGCTTATGTGTAGTGTAGTCTAAATTAGAAGTTTATTTGCTTTAAAGTTCTAACTGGTTACTTACTGCAAAGGCAACCTTAGTAGACACATGTAAATGTATTTTTTTAAAAAGCAATTTTATCAGATGGAATTAATCTTTTTTTTTTTCTTATTCACATCTTGTAGTCTTTAGCATATCAGTTCCAGCAACCAGATGGTGAGTTGGTATTTGCTGCTCTGTCCAGGGCCCCTGCTCAACGAGCTGTGGCTGACACCCCCGCCCACCTGTAGCCACAGTGGCTCTCCAGCCAGGCACAGGAAAGGAAACATTCCGAAGACTTTTCTCATAAAACACCTTTCAATTTTCATAAACGTATTTCACAGTTAGAATCAGTCTTGCACAGGTAAATCATAACTTAAGAGACTTTCAACCCAAAATATTTACATTCCTGATACAGGAGTGGGGACACAATTCTTGGGTGAAAATAATAGAATTCTCTCATAAGCCAGCATCATTAAGGTCCGGCCTGGCTCACCTCCCCTGAAGTTGTGCCCTACAGAACAAAGTCGATGAGTTGCATGTTGTACTTCTAAAACAGCATTAGGACATTGGTCTTCAGTGCTGCCATGAGCGGGGTCCGGTCCTGTAACACTTGAAACAGAAGTACCAATTCAAAGAGGGGGGGTTAAACCTAGCCCTCCTAGTGAAATATGAGTTTTAAATATTAGTAACTACCCTGGTCCATAATTCATGAAGGGGAAGGTAAACCAAGGCAAGCCAAGTCATTTCTAATGATATTCCAAGGTTGTGTCTACAAGATACTTGTCCTTTAAGTTTGGCGACAAATCGTTCCTTTCTGTAAAAAGTTTCTCTCCGGATATAAGACAAGATGGACCTAATACCGTGCAACTTTGTTTCAACAGAAAATATCATTTTAAAAGAAATGCTTTGTAGGAGTATTTTATCAAGAAAATGAGTCCTTAAACTTATCCATTAGCGCGCAGCACTGTGTCAGGACACACGCTGGCTGGTACAGGCACATCCCGGTGCACGCCCAGCAGATGGACACGAGTGGCAAACACTCGGAATTACCGAGAGGGAAGCTGGCGGGGGAGAGGGAGCCGTGCACACTTCCCCCTGGCCGCGCAGCCTCTCCTGCTGGACGCCTGGGCCTTGCACCAACACTCCCAGACCACGGCAGAATCTCAGGAAAGTTCGGTGAGTCGGCCACCTTCTGGGGTGTTAGTCATCAAAAACTTGGTCACTCAGCTGTCACTATCGGCCTCATCTTGGGAGCTAATGACCCTCTGGTTTGTTCTTGATGTGCCTAATTTTATACTTTTAGGATACGACAAAGGGCATTTTATAAAAGGGACATAAATTGTAACATAATTCTAAGTAGAAAACAGCAACCTAAACAACAAAATAATTTTTTCAGATCATGTGCCTGAGCAATAGAGCACTTTGAGATGACATCTTTGGGACCATGCTGCGTTAAGGACTCCTTTAACGTAAGGACACTGAAAACTGATGTCAAGAGCCCTGTGTCTGTCTCCTCCACTTCACTTAACTGACTCCACGTTATCAAAATACAGCAAGGGCTGGGATGTTTTTAAGATACGGACAGTACAAAGGTAAGTGCGAAATGACAGGAATACAATTTGGGTGAAGCTGGGCGAGTGTGACTTTCTAGCTGCTGAGTGTGCAACAACGCTTCCGCTCCAGCAGCCATGCAAGGGATGCTGGTGTGGAAGGTGAGGTGGACACTTCCTCCTTTAAGCACCCCACAAATGGCCGCTTGTTTGTGAGCCGTGGGGCCTGAGCGAGCACCCCGTCCCAGGGACAGAGAAACGCAGTGTCTGGATGCTGGGGGCTACAGCCCCAAAGCCAGGGCTCGGCAGGTTCACACAGAATGCCGAGACTGCGCATGTGTGCTCAGCTCTGCAACAACAACAAAAAAGTCTTCCAGAGAATATTTACAGTAAAAAAAAAAAAAAATGTTGAGTCCTCAGAAAAGAAAGGCAGTTGTCACGGGCCCCAGAATCTCCACTCCTCACAGGGAGAATGTGATTAGCTGTCTTGTAAGGGAAACGGGTTCTAAGGGCAGGGATCCCGTGTCCAAGGCTGCTGGACGGACATGGGATTTGGTTTAGACATTTAGAATGTTGGCAATGGCTTTTGTTGAGAGGGATTTCTTCATTATGTTCTTGGGCAGGAAGGGCTAGGGAGAAATCTTTGAAAATTTTGCATTAATAGAGCAGAGTTCATGTGTTTTATAAGAAAATCATTGTGTTTGGGAGGGACATGTCCTGGGTCCTTGAGGAGGGCACTCTGATGGGATGGAACCCTTTGCTGGCCGTGCAGACAACGGTGCACTCGGCACTGTCCTGCACAACTGCACTTGTGACAAAGGATCTTCCTTCCCGTGCCCTGAGCACCCGACAGAGCCATGTGCAGTGGAGAGGTCGCCGAGGTCTCTGGCCACCACTGATCAAAGGCGGAAGGTGGGGAAACTGGCTTTGGCCTCAGGTCTAAGCTTCATTCTTCAAGCTTAAAGCAAGACTCCACACCTCATTAACCCAGGGGTCCCTGTGTGCGGCGCTCCGAGGGAGGGCGAGTGGCCCTGCTGTTATCTCGGAGGGCAGCTGGGCACCTGCTCCAGGTAGGACTGCCCGGGTCGGACGGCAGGGTGCTCACTCAGGACCCTTTCCCGTGCACTTGCTTGGTGCGGCTCCTGTGGTCATCCTGACCCTACAGAGATGAAGTATGGGATCTGAGTTTCAGCAGGGAGCAGGGCATGAGTTGAGGGCAAGCAGACTGACAGTGGCATGCTTTGGCAGGGGGAGGGCAGCCCCGGCTCCGAGCGCTGTGGCGGAAGCCCAAGGAAGGGACGGCTCTGCTGGACTCCTCATTCCTGGGACTGTGCGGGATTATGCAATTAGAACAGATTGTAATTTTCTTCACTGCACAGATCCTTGTATCACAAAGCCTGGAAACAGGTGAATCCTCGCAGAGAAGGGATCCACACACTGAGTGCCCGACCAGGTTGTATCCCTCGCCACTCTGCCGTTTTCTCTACAATATGGTTTTTAATGACACAGTACAAGCTGGGGGTGGGAGGAGGATAGATCCCACTTAAAGTGCTTAGATTATTTCAAAATTTTAAGCATTTTTAACTATCAAAAGACTAAGTAGACAACCTGAGGGGAAGGTAAGAGGCTACACTGTTTAGGTTTTCATTGTACTTTTCAAAACTTGTGAGGAACAAGCCAGAAGGGTGGGCACGGGAGGTGCTGACTGGCTCGTGGAGCCCCGCGATGACCCCGGTGAGCAGAGGAGGGCGGGGCTGGCTCTGAGCCACCCCAGGGTGCTGCCCAGAAGGGCTGGGACTAAATTCTGGCGGGGCCCACGAGGCAGTGACCACCCCCTCCCCCTCCAACTTGGTGTCAAGGGGAGTTCAGAACCCCTGCACGGCTCTGCCTGGCCTTTCTCCCCTCTGCAGCCGTGGCCACGGTTTCCTGGAATACAGGCCATCTAAATTCATTTCTATCATCAGCTGAGGTATTCTTTCCCTGGTGGTCAGCGAGTCTTCCACTAACATAGCCAGGTGCTTGATGTAGATGGAGTGAAGGCCGTGCACTATGAAATAGCCCTTGAGTAACTGTTCCCGAAGGAAGCCTTCTCCCTCCTACTTTAATTTTAGATGGGTTTTTAACTAATGATCATTTGAAAGGTACTGAGGTGCTCAGATGCACCTGCTTGGAGGTGTCAAAGAGCTCGGGGGCCAGGTTCAACGGCAGTCTTCCCAGGAGGAACTGAAGCCAATCAGTAATGTGGGCAGCCGATGTCGCTCGCTATTGTTTAGTAGTCATCTCAGAGTAAACGAACATGCTGATTGAGGAACTATCATAAAAACAATGGGTTAAAAAATAAACTGGATATTCAGACCTAGAAGTTTAAATTTGAAATACCAGGGCAATGAATTGCACTAACAGAAGCTAGCCTGAAATCTTAAAAACATGGACAAGGTTTGACACAGCTTAGCAAAGCAAGAAAATGTGATTCCAATCTGGGCTGGACAGTGTGACACTCATTTTCCAAGTTTGCACCCCTGAGACAATTGTTTGGTAACCATTATACAGTAGGCACAGAAATCAGCATACTTGATGAAACAAAACTAAAAAAATAAAGCTATCACCATGTTAATCATTAATTTTTGTAAATGCGGTGGCTGGAGGAGAATCATCTTACAGGTCGTAAAATCTGTGCTTGGTTTCGTCAAGGATGGAGTCAGTGTCAGGCCACTGAGCAGTGTGAGCCTGGGACACTGGGCCCCCTTGCCTGCACATCGCTGGCAACTCCAGGGCTCCACCAGCAGAAGGCCGTGACCAGCAGCACAGAGAGCGGGTGCCATGGACGCACTGGATGGATTCAGCCCGAAATCGCTTCTGGAAGATGGCGGCATGTCAGTTCTTTGGCTCACTTACCAACGCTCCACATCTCGAGCTTAGTGGACGGAGGGTTCCGAGTTGCTATGCTTTGGCTTTTAGACTACAGGACAAGCAGATGAAGACTTTAGTGGAAGCTGGCCTCGCGGAGGACGCCGCACAGGATCCCTCCCAGCATGCCCAGTGCCAGCGTGCCGACACTGGCAGGAAGAGCTTATTGAGATGGCAGACAGACCCAGGTAATGGGGCAATGCTGCTAATCATTTGGTTTGTTCTGGAAAAAGTTTGTGAAGGACCACCCTCCTCCTCCGGACTTGGGAGAGTCTTCGTCTTTGGGAGGGATCAGAAACTGCCGGGAATTGATGGAGCATGGGCTTCCGAAAGACACCACCTCGCTGGTACTGTCTGTGGATCTGGGAGAGTCCGGGGAGACCAGATTCCAAGTGTTCACGCTGGCCTGGGGTCTGTAACCTGCAGTCTTGTCCAAGTCCCCTTCCAGAGCCAGCTCTCCCACGGCCGGGCTCACGGGCAGCCGCATCTGTGGCTTGTAGCCTGCCCCCGGCGGCGCGGGCTCGGCGTCCTGTCCTTCCTCGGGCGTGGCCTGAGGCTGGTACATGGACTGCACGTCGATGTAGACGACCTGCGCAGGCCCTCCGGCCTCCTCCGCCGCCGGGGTCGGGATCTCCTCCTCGATGATGGGCGGACAGTAGGACACGACCACGTGGTTGTCAGGTTCTGCCTCCGCACCCTCCTCGGTGCGCTCTGCCACTGGAGAAATGATTTCAGTGTCTTCTATTTTAGGGATCGTGGATCGACTTTCCAAAACCTCGATGTTATTTGGGGTGCAAGGATTCATTTCCAGTGTTTTTAAGGCACTGCTTCCCTAGAAAGGGATTGTAAAACATCAGTGAAAGGCGGTACTAAATGCCACTGGGAATGGCCCGTGGTACAAAAGGGAAATTTTAATTTTTTCCCATCTGGTAGTAAACATCTGATTTTACTGCTCAGAGAAAAGTGACTTTTCTCCCATCACTGCTCTTGCTGACAGAAGTAGAAAGGAGAGTACTGTAGAAACAATTTAACAATCTTAGAACTTGGGTAGGCACAGGTGTTCCAGGCCTGGGAGGGATTCCAGCTTCCTTCTGTCCTGCACCTGACGGCCAGCAGGGAAGGGCTCACGCGGGAGACCAGGCTGCAGGGCCTGGCTTCCGGCCTACGCACGCCCCGTCCCCACCGCTGTGGGATTTCGGGGAGTAAACGAGTAGAAAATCGGCTCTGCTCCCCCGCCCCTGAAAATGTCAAACATATTTAAAAGGGAATAAGCCTTGTGACACAGTAGACTAAGGTGGTCCAGGAGAGGTCACTCCTTTTCCCAGCCAGCTCCTCGTCAGGGTGCCCAGGAAGGTAGCAGACGAGTGCTCAAGTACCCAGGCTGGGATGGCATGCTGGCCTGTAGCCTGGCCCAGGTACAGGCACTTGAGGAATGAACCAGCAAATGGGAAGCCTGCCCTGGCCCCGCTCTGCCTTGCAGAGAAGTCAACCTTTCACGCCTGCCGGGTTTGTTATAGTTTTGCAGAATGCCTTTCTCAATCTTTGCTTAGACATTTCCATGTTGAACCCTTTTCACAACAGACAAATGAAATCGTTCAAAGACAAACGGAAGAACATAAAGGATTACCTCACAGACGCTCTTTTGAAACTGTAGTGCTTTGCAGTTTTCTGGATTTGGAATATCAGGATAGAAGGTTTCTTTAATCCTTTAAAGAATGACAAAGTACATTTAGCAACTGTGCTCGCACTCAGGCAACAGGCAGACTTACTTTGATGCTTCCTGTGAACTTGGGCGACCACCTCAGACACATGCACCACCCGGACTGCGATCCTTCCTTAAAGCTTTCCACGCGATGGAGCAATTCCAACCTGAACACCGGCCAGACTAATTCCATTTCTAACACTGCAATGCCTATGTATCTTACAAAAATGGCAAGTGCAGAATCAAGTTTGAAGTCAAACACAGGCATTGTTTGCATAAATAAAGATTTCAAAGTATGAAGTGGATCAAGCATGGCCCATGACGTAAAGCTTCTGAGTGTCCGGTTCTCGTTTGCTCTTAACAGCCATGGTGCAAGGATGCTGTTTTACCGCAGTGCTTAGAAAGCATGGGGGAACCAAGGTTACAGCCACACACCATGCGAGGCACCTTGCTTGTGGTGCTAAATTTAAAAAGGGGGGAGCAGTTAATCTTGAACAAAACTTAATGTGAACAAAACGAGATTTCCCTATTTTATATTATAGCTAATAATAAAACTTTTAAAAATTCCTGCAAAAAAACCATTAAGGTGAGTCTGGAACATTGAAGTCCTTCCTTAAGGCAGGTGTTGTCAAAATGTGCTGACACTTGTACAGCTAGAATAGTGCCTTCTGGAAACTGTTCTTGTCATCAGGACTGCTGAGCTATTTTGCCTTCTCCAGCATTAATGGGACATGTTCAAGGCCAGCAAGGCCCAGTATTGGCCCCAGGACAGCTCCTGCCCTTCACCCTAACCAGCTTCCCTCTGCCTGCTCTTCTCCTTGTTCCAGAAGAAGGGCCAGTAGGGGACCTCACACCCACTCCTCTCTCCCTGTCCTTACCCTGACCACCTCCCTGGACCTGGCCCTACTACTAGTTTCCTTGAGGATCCTGCTCCCTTGTTCCTGGCAGTTCCTGCACACACAGACTTAGTGGAGCTGCCAGCTGAATGTTCTGACTCACTGGCATCCCCTACCCAGGGGAGGGGCCGTGCACAGCCACCGAGTCCGTGAGTAACCGGCCCAAAGGGGAGGGTTTTTCTAAAGCGGTCACAGTGGGCAGGAGGGATGTAACCATTTAGTTACATTTATCCTTGTAGCTCTCTATGGCCATATTATGCCTATGAATACTTTAAATAAAACTCTTAGCTGCCATAAGTTATTAGTACAAACTAGAGGGAAAATTTTATGCTTTCACTCTGCTTCAAATACTGTTATGTTTTGCCTAATGTGAAAGTCCTCTCTAGTTCTGATTAAAAATATTTAACTCATTATACCTCAAAAGATGTACTGACTCTAACACATCAGCCAAACACTCACGACTTGGCCACAAAGCAGTGCACCTATGGCACCATTACCATTCTCGCTTCCGGTAGCAAAGGACACTGGTCACCACTCCCACGGAGACGGCCACTGCGACGGGGATGAGGATGGCGATAATCAAGCCCACGGCTGCAAAGAAAGCATTGCACAGGTTACAGATCATCATGTTCCTAGTGTGAAGGACGGAGCACATCTCTAGCACAGCATTTTGAAGGGGACAGACTTGCACGTAAGCAAGCTGCTCAGGGACACTGGCACACTGAGTATGTACAACCTTTCAGGTAAGGTAAACTTTGTATATACTAAAAAAACAAAACCAAACCCGAGTTGTTGAGAGCAGCGTTCCCTGGGCCTAACACAGCTCAGGCCGATCCCCGTGGGCCGGGGCGGATGGGTGGGCCTCACACCGCGGGAAGACTAGCAGCACTGCGGCTCTGAGCCATCACATATTAGCAGTAGGTGGAGCCAGGACGACCGAAGGGGTCACTACGCATGGGAGGCAGCCGCATCAGCATGGTCCACTCTGCAAGAGCTGTGCATGGATTTCGAGTCAGGGTGGAAGACAAGGTCAGAGGTCAAACTCAAGTGCCACACTGTTGAGAGGCAGCCAAGCACAGCCTTTTTTCTTAACTTTTCTTAACTTTCACTGGACTTTTTTTTTTTTTTAAATCATGGGAATAGCTGAGTAAAAAACATTTTAAGGTAGCTGAGAGTTTTATAAATTCAACGTGAATTTAGACCCCCCCTAGATATTGGGTAAGTCCCTAAGTCATTTCTAGGTAGGCATTTGAAAGTAGCTTCCACTACCAAGAACATACAGGAGGCCACGTCAAGGCCTTGTAGCAAATGAAATGGGGAGGTTCCCTGCATCAGAGAAAGCCACTAGGAACGCTGTGCATGCATTTCAGTACGGGAAACACCACAAAGGCAACACGGAACTTACAATTCTCCTTTGTCACCACATACATGCTCTTCTCGGGGCCCATCCCGCCATCGGTGTAGGCTCGCAAGACCAGATGGTAACTTGTTTTTCCCTGAAGATCAGCAATTCTTAATGTCTTCTGTGATAGGTCGGTAATATTCTTAACTTTTATGTCAGAACGACCTATTTTTAAAATAAAGATATTAAATTCTACATCATTTTTGAATGCTTGGTTACTGACACCCGTCGGGCCAAACCCGCTCTTAGAGTCTGGCTGCTAGCCAACTCCAGCCAAGGACCTAGAGCCAGTCAGAGCCACGTTCAAGTTCCACCTGCACCAGTCAGCAGTCACGCTGAGGTCACATGGAGAGCAAAGTATCATGACCGACCTCCCAGCTGTGCCCAGTGCTCACACCTGCCAGGAAAGGTCTGAGGGCAGCAGGCAGCTCACACCCCTTCCCTCAGTGTTTAAAAGCCTGGCAACAGCCAGGACACAAACTCCACTCCAGATGCTCCAGAGGGAGCAGGGACATGGACCAAAGGGAAGATCACAGACCACCTGGGACAATGCTCAATCATGTAGGATTCTAGTCTTAGAAATTGTAGCCCGAAAAGGGCAATGGTTAAAATAATTAGGGACTACTGAATGGCTAATCATTAGTAACAGAAAGCAGCCAACTGCCTACCAGCCCCTCTTCTCACCCCTACTGTCACTGTCCAACTATGTTATGCATCTCTTTGGTTACTAATGTCCATACTGCAAGTAACAAAATATGAGTTTGCTGGTTGCTGCCTGTGACAATTCAGCCAGTAGAGTCGAGTGCTGGAGGGAGAGACATGACCCCTGCCTGGCCCCCCGCCCCGTGTCCATACAGAGCCACCGGCACCTGCAGGGAACCCCGTGTTCACAGCGTTGTCCTATGAATGTGCACCACTGCTAACACACACGGCTGGGTATCATCACAGGTACCTCGTTCACCTGCTGATTCAAATGCCCGGTCTGGACCAATTCCGAATTCTTCCAGTGATTTCTCAACAGTTTTCCATGGAGGCAAATGTAACATGCCAGTTCCCGTACCCCACATCCTGCACGACACTGGAACCTTCCAGGCTGCCACCTTCCTGGAGCTCCCTGTCCCTGCCCACTCCACTCCCACAGGTGAGGCACTCCTCCGAGCGCCTTCTGTGAAAGGCAGTGGGCAGCAGGCGTTCGGACTTGCCCAGCTGAACTGGTCTCCTTTCTGCTCTCCTGGTGGGCGGTAGGCTGGCAGAGTGGATTTTAGTCTGAAAACCATTTCTAGCCAACAGTGGTGAGACCCTGCTGGTACCCGAGTGCCAGTGCCACTTCTGCTGCCATTCTCTCCCTTGCAGGCAGGCCCTGACTCTCTCTAATCCGTTTGTATACTTCAGGCATCTGAGAACTCATGACAACACTTCGTGCTGTGTGCCTAGCGAGCGCTTCCAGTCCACGCTCTCAGATCCTCCCGTTCCGGGACACTGCTTCCCGTCAACCCCCTCTATTCGCCCCAGATCCATCTTAAGCACCTGCTGCTCACACTAGTCCCACACACCCACTCCGGTTACTCCTCAAGGACATCTGACTACCCACTTCCACTTCGTACGCCACCCCCCGGCCCCATGCTTCTGAGCATTGTTCTTCAGTGTTACCTCCACACTCCTCACTTCATTTCTGATGATCTCTTGCCTCCCCCATTGTCCTTCTCCTTGTGGCTTTATGAGAAATTGCTTTCCCTAGACTCTAATGAGAGTGACTAACCCACCATGTGGTAACTGGTTCATGGGTAACCTTTCTAAGCACTCGAGGACAATCCTGTGGGCCCTGGAGAGCTGAGGGTTTCCCTCTGAACCCTTAAGCTTCAGAAAACAAGAACTCAGCAACCCAGGAAGCCACGCGTCTCGCACAGGCTGCCCCCCCCAGGTCAGCATCCTGGTGCAGGCTCTTCTCCAGTGTCAGGCACTAAATAACCATCCCTGCTTCCTTCTGGGGAGATGTCACTGAGGGGAAGGAAAGCTCTCAGACTGTGAGGATGATCAGCTCGCGGTGCGCAGCTCCCAAGACAGTGGACTCCCAGCAAAAACAACCATTGAAGGAAGAGCCAAAAACCTGAATAAACATTCCTATGATTTGTACATTTCAGAACTCTGTGGGCTTTGGATGCACGTTTACTGAGTGACAGGGACTAACTGTATGTTTTGAGACTTAACGGATACACGCGTCTCCAATTCAGTCAGTCCGACTTCCGAGCTCACGAAGCCCGTCTGTCCGGTCCCCGAGTTTTCTCCTCTAGGCACAGGCACACAAGATGACTTTTTAAAAACTACATTTTAAAAGGCTTGCTAGGGCTCATGCAAGGTTAACCATAGATGGCTTCTGCTCTATGGGATTTCACAAAGACCTCAGAAGCAACTCCTCAAAAGACCACACATGCCGTGGAGCATATTCCACAACCTGAAAGCTCTTACATTCCAACATGACTGTTCCTTTTGCCATTTTTGGACAGTTTTGGCAGGACTCTCTTTGCTCTTTATTTTGTGATGCTTCTAAGAAACACTATTTGCACACTAGCAATTTGCTTACCTGATTCCAAACTCCTCATTTTGGATGTGTCTCTCTCCCCTTTTTCAAAGTAAAATAAATATCCTCTTAAGAAGCCTCTAAGTTCTTCCACAGGAATATCTTCCCATTTTACTAATATTGAGTCTGCAGAAGTATCCTCCACGGTAAAATTTGGTGCAACGATGGGAGCTGTGAAGGACAAGGCCAACGGCTCAAGGAGAGCTGACAGACGCAGACGGGGTCACTGCACAATTTCTGGGCTCTACGAAGAGCTTAAGTGAGAATCAAAAATGTTATCCCCTATCTAGTCATAAGCCTTCAGCCATACTACCTCATGCTCTTTGGCAGTGAAACTAATTCACAGAACTGGAAAAGCATCTCCAGGCGCGAAGGTAGAAGTTCAAAGCGTTAGCCCAAAGCCCACGTCTGGGAAGGCCGCCTACCCGTGGGGCGTAGTGCTTCACCGTGCTTTCCCTCTTCACTGACAGTCCCAAATAAGCAGTTATTTTAAACACATTTAAAGGGAACTGAAATATTCTTGACATTTGAGTCATGACTATTTTCTCTAACAGTAGAATATCCATTAGCCAAATTAACAAATACATAATTTTAAACTTATCATGCAAATTACTTTGCCTTGCTAGAACCAGACCTCTGAAACATGCGTATAGAATTGAATCTTGAAGTTACTGACTTACAATTTTTCATGTTACCTTGAACTCGAAAAAAAAAAACTTACCTAATTCTTCTACATATCCGATTATTGAACGTAATAACTGGTATCCTTGATTTTTGCATCCATACAGGAAAAAATTATATCTCACACCTGGCCGAAATTGATCTATAAGATGAACACAGTGAATTTCATTAATGTACAGTATACTACAATATCTGCTTTAGAAATAAATATTTTTAGCTTTCTCAGCAACTTCCAAAATTAACTAAATGGGTTTTTAAAAAATTACAACTGTGTGTCTGGGGCCTTGACGCTCCGGCCGTGACAACCTCCTCCTGCACTGGGTGTCGGGCTGCATCACCAACCGTGGGCCCCGGCGCAGAGAGGAGGGCAGAGCTGGGCAAGGGGCGAAGCCATTCTCATGTGGCTGCAGCATCACCTCTCCACTCACGGGCCCGTGGACTACAACAGACCATCAACCTCTAACCAAAGAAAAGCTGCAAAAACTTGTCTCAATTTTAACTTTTCTCCCAGTTATGTTTTTTTCTTACACATTTGCTATGTGCTAGCAAAGTACTAAGTAAATATTAAGAAAAATTTCAAACTATGCCAAGGGCATAAAAGGCAGCAAAGGGCTGAAGGGGCGCAGGGCTACATGAGCCTCATCTGTCTCCTGTGTGCCACGCTGCTTTGGGGCCCAGCAGCCAGGAACAACAAATGCAGCACCTCGGGAGGCTTCGAGTAGCTGCAAATTTGAATTCTGGTGCTGTGACACACCGGTTTTGTGACTCTGGGAAAGTTGCCAAACTTTCCTGCACTTGGGTTTCCTCTCCGTGTCTGCGCTGGCACAGAGCATTCTCCTTCAGTCACGACACGGCCTGCTCCCCTTGTGCCCCTGCGTCTCAGCCATAACCTGCATCTCTGGCTACACCACCGATGGCCCTCTGCCCTTCCCCGGTGTGGGTGAGAACAGGCTGGAGCTGCACAAGGCTCAGCCAGCACCAGGCGAGGGGAGGAGGCAGGAAGGCACCTGGATTAGTGAGGAGCGCTGGGGTAACACAGAAAGGGACGACTCCCGGCTTTGCCCAGTCACCTCTGTACTCGGTGCAGCCCTGGTCGGTCACCTGAGCCCACACATGCTGAGCCAATGAATGGCACTGGCCCTCACAGCACCTGGCAGGTGCAAAGAGCATCCTGGGTGAGATGCGATCAGCAGGCTGCTTGCTGTCCTCTGCCTCACTGCCCACCTCTCTATGTCGGGGTCGGAAGTTGGTGAACCAGCCCCGTGCCCAGTGCAAGCGGAAGTTGTGGGTGGAGCCTAAGGCATAAAGGCCCTGGATACCTTGTTCTCTTCAAGGAGCGGGTGGTGGTGGCAGGGAAGGACTCGGGAAGCATCACTACTCCTCTGCTTGCAAACATGAGGCAGGTGCGTCCACAGGCTGAGTGAGGAGCCCTCAGTGGCCGAGCCCTGGCAAGGCCAGCCTGCCCCGTCCTCAGCGGTAACAGCTACGGATCATTGATGCTCAAGTCTCTCCCTGGGTCAAGGAAGGGCTGTGTGCAATCGTGAGGTTTTTCTCAGGAGCACCCCATCTCCGCTCCATCTCTGCTGCGTCTTACCACTCCTGAACTGCCCACTGGCACAGGTGCACCATGCTGTCTAAAGTGTTTGCCATCTTTTCCTGATTACCACTAATAATGTTCCTAGATGAAATCTCTTTCCTTCTGGTTGCATCTTGGTGTGAATTCCTTGACAGGCAGTGACTAGAACAAGGGATTAGAGTCCTTCCACAGCCTATGCTGCCACACAGGCACCCAGCCGGGAGGGACGGGGAGAGGGAGGGAGGGAGAGAGAGAGGGGGAGAGAGAGAGGGAGAGAGAGAGGGGGAGAGAGGGGCGGGGGGAGAGAGAGAGAGAGAGAGAGAGAGAGAGAGAGAGAGAGAGAGAGAGAGTGTGTGTGTGTGTGTGTGTGTGTGTGTGTGTGTGTGTGTGTGTAAGGGGTGGCAGTGGGGCGTAGCCTTTGAAAACTCTAATCCAGCTCACCAGATTCAATCACGGTCTCGTTGCTGGTGGAAGGCACTTTCTTCCAGTCCATGAGGCAAGGCTGAGAGCGGGAGGAGTTGCACCACTTGATGACATAGTCGCACGTCACATTGGGGTCCTGGCGCCATGTGAGGAAAATCCTCCTGCCCATCCCAACAGCCTGCTCAACTTGGAGATTGTCTTCAACAAGAAGGAAGGATATGTTACCGGCGTTAGAAACCACCACAAGTGGCACAGCTCACACAAACGGGCTAGAACGACAGAGCGCTCACTACGCGGCAGCGAGATCGAGCTCATGCTCTGTCCCCTGGATCTGAGGACACTGAAAGAGCAGCGAATGTGTCCTTTTCATCTATTTCAAAACACAAACTGATGGAACCCTGCCAAATCCATTTTTAAAAAACCAACCCACAGAAACATTTAGCAAGGTTCTGAAATATGGCTCTGTTGTTTTATATTAACATACAGCACTTGTTCACAGAGCTTAAGGAGTATCTGGGATCAGGCAGTGACAACTGTGTCCAGGATAGGGAGATTGGGTGCCGGGGCACCAGAGGGGACGTGACCACACGGGTGGGGGGATTGGGGGCCACCGGAGCACGTGTGACCCTCTCCTTCGTCACTGTTGCATCTGTGAGGGCCACAACAGCAGGCTTGTGTCTGGAACCCCGGCTCCTGGCAGAGCAGGTGGCATGGGCACATGGTAAGCTTGCACACACCAGCCTCTTTCAGGGAAGCCGTGGGAGAGCAGAATGGGAAGGGGAGCTCAGGCAGGTGGCAGCTCCAGAAGCGGCTGCCCCAGTGGGCAGAGGGACAGCCAGCCTGGTGATGTGGGATACGGTGGGGTGTGCCACGAACGTGGGGAAAACAGCTGCCCAGTGCAGGGCTAGGAGAGGCAGAACCTGCTGCCCCATCCCGCCAGACTGCTGGGCTGCCAAGCACTGCCCACGGCCCCCCGAGCCTGCGGCCCGGCCCCTGCAGTGAAGCGGCTGAGGGTGCCCACCAGGGCGAGGGCAATGGCCCACAGTCACTGGGAAGAAGCAGCAACCGCTGAGACTGGTTTATATTTAAGGGTTCAGTAAAAAGTCACAGAAAGGGTTTTTTTTTTTTAAACAAAATTTGCATTCATAAAGCAACTGCTACTGAACACGACAACAATCTGGCAGAGCACACTGAAGACTCTAGACAGAAAACAGCATCTTGGCCGAAGCGGATGAAAAAGCCACAGTGCAAACAGGCGCCAAGGCCGCGGAGCCTCGGATGGGAGCAGCGCTGAGGAACGCCACGGTCCTGGGCCACCAGGGGCTGGATGCTGCCGACTAGGGGCCCCGCGGGGGGCTCTGGGAGTGATCCCCTCAGAGCGACACACAGAAAAGGGAGGCTGGTGGTTCTTGAATTGTGGGACAGACACTGGGTGCACCAGTTAACTGTCCACTCAGGACGCAGGCACCCCACTTGGAGTACCCGGGTTCTACTCCTGATCCCGGGGGTGGCAGATGATGGCTCAAGGTCACATGTCCTTGCCACCTGTGTGGGGCAGCTGGACTGAGTTCCCAGATTGTGGCTTTGGCCCAGCCCACAGACACCTGGGGAATGAGCCGGCAGACGGGAGTTCTTGGTCTCTTCCTTTCTGATATGATAAATGAGTAGCACATACAGCTACTGCCTAGCACTGGGGCAGCAGCGAGACGCATCATCGCGTCAGATTAGTTTCCCATGCATGCTCACTGTTGTTTTTTTTTTTTTTCTGGCCAGACCATTAGTACGCCTTGCTCAACCCCCGCTCCTGACACCTGCCAAACCACTTCCCCCAGGGCCTCTCTGCCAGGAACTGCCATGTGGGTTCTGGGCAGCGCTCCATGACTCTGAAATGGATGGCGCTTGGCCCATTCCTTCCTCTGGATGCTCCAACAGCCATCTCTAGTAGAACAATGAGCCAGCACAAAGAAAAGCAATGAGAAGCTGGCATAGACAAGAGCTGCAAAGGTATTCAGAGGACTCAGGCAGGACTACTCCTCCCCCCGAGGGATGGATGGCACAGGAAGCTACACCCTAACAGGGCTGGGACAGCCGAGTGGGAGCAGGCAATGAAAGCACAGGTGACTGAGAGGTGGCTGCGGCCCACAGGCTGCACGGCATCCCGGCGGAAGCACAGGGAAGGGCCCAGTTCTGGTGCACCGCAGAACTCAGAGGCTCTTACGTTATACCGGGACTTGTTCAAAGCTGAGACTCAAGTTCTCCTTTATTCTCTGAGGAGACACGGTGACCAACAAAGAATTCTTATTAATGCAGAATTTTCTATCAACAAAACTGCCAAATCAAATGATTTTCTTTCCTGCTTGAGAGCTGGCAACAGACTGGCAGACATGGCACAAATTCGCATAGCCTTGAAGAGTATTCCAAAATGGTATTTGAACAAAGATATTCCTTCGCAGAAGTTACTCCCCAGCACTCGGTGACAAGTGCTTGCCTTCAATAGCCCTGTGCCCAGTGCGCAGTCTGCCAGTCGCTGAGTACTGCACGTTCGGCTCCTTGTCCCACCCCACACGGGTCTGCAGCAGAGCACACGGGAACGAGAGCAGATCGGAAGAGCACATGACACCACCGGCTTTCACTCCCCGCACTAATGGCCGCAGGCACTCACCATGCGGGAGTTCCATGCTGGCTATTCGGGAAGGCGGGGACGAGCCCACAGAATTCCTGGCCACCACACTGATGATGTAGTCGTGTCTGCCAAGCTGCATTTCTGCTTTGTGCTGGGGGTCAGGGATCTCTGAGAGGGACTGGGTTTCTTCCTCGGACGAACAGGATACGTTATAGGAGAGTATTTTCCCATTAGCTTCATTAATGGGCAAAGGCTATCAAAAGCAGAAAAATAAACAGTCTTATAACAAAGGTGCAAAAAGAGACTGCAAAGCTGGGCAAAGCTATTCCACCCGCCGGAACGAGCCATTCCCAGGGACGAGGCGAGTGCTGAGGCAGCGAAGTCGCCGGCAGTGGGAAACACGGACTTTCTAAAAACCCCCGGGGGCCGGGGGGTGACACTGAACATATGCTTGCTACAAGAGCGCAAAGAAATTCAAGACTGAAAGGCAAACTGTTTCTCTCCAGCTTCAAAAACAAAATTTTGGAAGATTCATATATATCTTTAAAAAGACGCACTTGTTTATTTGAAAGTGAGAGAGAGGAGACGACCCCAGGAGGCCACGAGAGCTTCACCTGGGACTTCCATGTTCCTCTGACTTCCTGCACATGTTAGCAGGAAGCGAACAGGTGGGCTGGAAGTGGAGCAGACTAGACAGGACCCAGGACCCAAACGGGATGCTGGCTGCCATAATGCCGGCCCCAAAGCAAATTTGTCAAAAATGGTCAGAAGCATTGCTCTGCTTCACCATAACCACGCAAAGCAAATCACATAACTGTGGTATTTTTTTTTTCCCAGAAAAGATTTAGTAATGGCCTTTAAGTAGTATATATCCATTAATGAAAAGCAGGAAATATACAAAATTTTGAAAGAAAATGAGTAAAAATCTCCCATATTATCACTTCTGAAATACTTCTGCATTTTGATATTTCTTTCAACCTTCCTGGTTGGGGGGTAGATTTTTTTTTTAAAGATTTATTTATTTCAAAGGCAGAGTTATGGAGTGTGGGTGAGGGGGCACAGATGGGGGCAATGGCCTGGGCATGGGCTCCTGAAGCCACGGGCCTCACCTGGGTCTCCCAAGTGGCTGCAGGGGCTCAAGCACTGGGTTATTCTCTGAGGTTTTCCCAGACCAGTAGCAGGGAGCTGGATCACAAGTGGAGGAGCTAGGCTGAACTGGCGGCCATATGGGATGCCAGCGTCACAGGCAGCTAACGGCTTAACCCGCTATACACTGCCGGCCCCAGATTTTCTTTTAACATTAGCTTAATACACAACACAATTTCTTCTCATTTTTCTTGTAATTGTATCTGGTGACATAAACATTTTAGTGGCCTCATATTTCACAGACATTTTATGAGTATTCCATAAATAAATGAAATCTAAGTTGTACTCATTTTTTTCACAATACTAAAAGAATTCTGGTGGACCTGTGCCCATTTTTTTCTTGTTCATAATAACTGGGATCAATTCCTTAATATGGATTTTCCCAAGTGAATTCACTGGATAAAAGGAAATGAGTCTTCAAACAGACAGCTAAACTGCTTTTTTAAGACAATTAACCCCAATTTATATGACACTGTGTGAGACCCAATGATCCATTCCTAGAAGAAAAACTGTAGAATGTTGGCACTCTCTGGTAGTGGATTTCTGACTGGGCTTCAACAGGGAGGGAGAGGAAGTCCTCTGGTCTTTTATAGGCCTCATAAAATCAGATGCACGAACGTGGAGACAGACGAGCCTCATTACAATGACAGAATCGGCAGCAGTGCAGTGGAATGCGGGGATTTTAGGAGCCAGGCAACATTTTCAACAACACCGCACCACAACCTGAGCCAGTCTGGGCAATCCCTGCCCCTTGGTGCTCCAAACCCCCACGCAACGTCACCAGTTCAGCGTAACACAAGGAAAAGTGAGGTACCTACCTTCCAATAGATGATCAGATTCTTTCCATCAGAACTCCACTCTCTCCAAGTGTCTGGCCCCTTTGAAGGAACTAGGAAGGAGATGTGAAAGTTTTGGGAGACGCAGATGACATGCACGCCAATAGAACACTCAACAGAGTTGGTGGTGCCCGACCCCTCCTTCCTAGGGTACCTGAAGCCACTCAGGGGCGTCTACTTGGAAAATGAGGCCACAGGAGAGCTAAGTTCCCACGCCCTGCACACGTGCTGCTCCTGGGACAGTTGAGCACTCTTGTGGCCCTCCGATTGGTCCCCCGCTGCCTGTCCCCCATCCTGTCTGCTCGGAGTCATATGTGCTCTGCTCTCACTCTGGCACCCAACTGTTTCTCTGACACGCCAAAAAGATCTCAGGCTCATGGCACTCACTACCTGTGCCCTCCCCATGCTCTCCTCCCCTGGGTCCACCGCCTTGGTATCAGCTGAAACCCCACCTCGGTGATACACTCCTGCCTGGATGCCCTGTTGAAACCTGCAGTTCCTTTCACCTGATTACCCAGACTTCATTCCCATGCCCCCTTCCTGGGGTTTATTTTCCCCCATGGCATCACCACCTGACATGCTGTAGTGTATGTATTTCTTATGCATATACTCACATATCTTACTTAGAAACAACTGACTTATGCATCACCCTGTGCTCTATAGACGTCATAAGGCAGAGAGCTCTGTTTTATTCATTGCTGTATCTCTGGTGACCAGAACAATTCCTCACACACAGTGAGTGCTTATGAGAACCATTTATTCATGCAATAATGCTGTCCTCTCAGTGAGGCGTAAATAAGACAGCTCTGGGCAGCCACAGCTCATTCACAGAGCCAGGGTTTCCGTAGCAGCCAGTCTCCACAACAGCTACTGATCCTGCACCTGCGCCTTTCCATGCTCCCCTCTCAGAACCAGCGCTGCCCTAGGTGGCCAGAGGCATGCAGCTGACAGGACGGTCATGCCACTTCCAATTTCACATCATAAAAGGCGCTACGGAGTTCCCCTAGCTCACCCTAACTGAACACATCCCAAGGATATGGGAACAAGCTATGGAGAGGACCATGCGGGGAGATGTCAAGGCCTCCTGCTGAGCCAAGTGAACCCCATCCAGGTGGGATCCTCCAGGCCCCACCCATATCCTGTCTGCAGCCTCAGGGGACTCCCAGGCAGCACCCACCAGTTGACCCATACACACTGCGAGATCGCAGAAGCTGGCTGTTTTGAGCCACTACACTGGAGGAGAAAATGCCACATAGCAACAGGAAATCGATACTACATCCCATCCCTGGTTGCCATGCACTGGTTTCACTTTTGATGCTACAAATAATTCTTATAGATATCAAAAAGTTCCTCATGTCTATTCTTCACACAGAAAAACAAAAGCTGCATTACCACTTTTCCTTTGTAATTGTGGGGCGAGAAGTTTTACATTTACTGCACTACATAGTACAAGTAAGGGTTTTGCTGTAACGGCTCCTAAAGCTTAGACTACCCTTTCAAATGATCATCCTAACTAAGCCAGCTGTCTGTCGTCACACCACAATGCTGGAGCTCACAGCATTTCTGACCTCTAGACTGCAAATAAAAATTCTAACAAGCCTTTTTCTGTTACTAATTACTTCCAAAAACAAAAACTACAGGCAATCTAAATAGGAGGCTTCACTGAAATCCCAGAAGAAAGAAGGAGTGGGAGGGTCACCCTCTAATGTCGCCATGGTTTCAAGTCTGAGTTCCCAAGCACTCTGCAGTGCTGTCACACATTTTAGACAAGGGTTTGCGGTCCCTTCCCAGAGCTTGTGTCACATGTTTTTTTGTAGCATCACAGAACTTTAAAACTCATTTAAAATGTCAGCATGGTATTTGCAGATATTCCTAAATTCACCTGAGCACCCATCAACTAGGCATTGCCAACACATTTTCTTTAAAGAAAAGTTGTAAAACTTCAGGATACAGTGTACAATGGGCCATAAATCCTTTGGCAACTTACTGGCTTCAGTGGTTAAATGCTGTTTTTCATTGCTCCATTTGCTCCATTTCCAGAAAGTTTCAGTAGAACAACGGATCCAAAAAGAATATATTGTATATGGATTTAACTTGTCCACAATAATGAGGTAATTTGAGTTTTCTACTCCTCTGATTTTGACATTCCGCTATTAGAAAACAGACATGCATATGCATATGAGCGTATATCATGAATGGTGAATACTTACATATGCACACGTGCATTCTTGGTCAGAAAGTCTCTTACGTTTGCATCATAAATTAACCAGACATCCATACAAGTTTGCAGTTGTAATAACAAAAATACTTCAACCACTGTAGTATTTTAGCTTACACATAAATGCCTAGTTGTGAAATAATTTATCAACCCCTGAAGATGTTGAGGGTTAGACAGCTGTATCAGCCCCTCAGAGGAGGCCTTCGTTTTTATGTCTCCTTGTTAAAATGTCAATTCGAACCTCTAGCTCTTTGGTGCTAAATGAGAAGCAAATGGTCAACAAATGATCACTTCAACTAATCCAACAAAATTTTTAAAAAGCAATTCTAAACAAAATAGCAAATCTACATTTTCTCAGGAAAACCTGAGCTCCCAATAGCTTATGACAAAATAGTCTTTCAAACTGTTTTTTCAATTTTGACCAACTTGCTAGAAATCGGTACATTTCCAAATGAATATTTAAGTACAATATAATTTATTTTGGATATACCACAGATTACAATATGGTGTTGTTAAAGTTAACCTAAATATTTTAAATGTATTAAAAAGTCATGTTTTGACTTCTAATTACCAAGCAGAAGAACTGGCTCCCATTGCTGCACTTCGCAGTTTTAAAGATCACTCTACTACCTGGTGCCAACTGGTCCATTAAGTGATGCTGAAGGTTACAGAAAAGACTGCTCCTTCAGTCACAAATTTATCATGCACCAGCGAAGTGTCAGGTACTGCACCGGACCTGAAGACCTTCTGCACAGAGTCAAACTTACCCATCTACAACACTCAATACACTGGATGTAATGCTGTTACTACACTGAGAGCTCATGCTTAACATTTATTGAAAACCAAGTGTTACATAAAACAGGTACAAAAGAACTTTGCAGAAGAATCACACTCACCAATTCTTGTACTGAGTTGGGTTTGTTAATTTTGATTTGACATAACAGATTGATTTTTGCAAAGTTGCCAGGCAATCGCCAAGTAAGCCTGACAGCTGTGGAGTTCACATCCTTCACTCTGAATGAAGTAGGCGTGTGAGGATGTACTGCAAATACAATTGTTCAAAGATTAATCACTTTAAATATTTACTTGCAGGCCAAAAGCTGTCATCTAATATGATAAACCAGAATGAAAGAAAATAAAGACTGGAGAAAACCGGAGTGCAGACCTGTCCAATCTTTACAGAATCCAAGTTTTTACTGGCAGTATTGCACCCACAGTTCATGCGAACAAACCAGGCTCCCGGTCCTTGTGTGCTGTTGGGAGCACTGAAAGGGAGCAAGGTCACTGCCTCTGTGTCTAAGGAACTTCCAGCGCACTTAGGGAACACCGGGCGGAACAGGAGCCAGATGAAGTGTGTGCTGTTGTGAAGGTATGGTGCAGACATTCTACACTGAATGCATTCAAACTTCAGCACGGTGGCAGGTGTCTGCACAATGACAATGGAACTTAGGACAAACTTAGATTAAACTAAGTACCACAGATGTACAAAGTACTTTAGATTAGGAACTAACAGATAGACACACACACACACACACACCAGATCACTCAAGTACAAAAGCCAGCTGTCTAACCTGAAGGAAAAACCATCGGGAAATAACAAAGATGACGGGAAGCATTAATTGATGAAACTGACTTTTAGTTATAATTAGAGCAACCAGATCATTCAGTTATCACTTGATAGGCTGGATGATGAAGCCCAGGAAAGTCGGCCTTTTCTCCCCTTAACTGTGAGTCTCAACAACAGGTGGAGAAGGATCAGTGTTGTGGGATAGCAAGCAAAGCCACCACCACTAGGGACCCCAACATCCCATATGGATGCTGGTTCCTGTCCTGGCTGCTCCACTGCCAACCCAGCTCCTGGCTAACGGCCTGAGAAAGGGCACCAGAAGATGGCTCAGCTGTATGGGCCCCTGCCACCCAAGTGGCAGACTTGGATGATGATCCTGACATCAGCTTGGTAAAGTCCTGGCCACTGCAACCATTTGGAGAGTAAGCCAAAGGATGGAAGATCTCTCTCCTCTCACCCCTCTCCCTGTGGGTGGGGAACCAGGTGGTGCACATTCAGCCCACAGGCCACACAAGGCCTACAAAACCATTCGGTTCAGGCGGGACATGAAACCCAATTCAGCTACAGCAGGCTAATTTTCAAGCTGATTTTTGGCATGGCTAGCAAGTGATGTTACAAATATACAAAACAGCCTTTGGTAGAAAGAAGCCCGCCCACTCCAACCTCAGAGAAGACTGCAGTGCCATTTCCCTGTGGGCTGCAGAGCCAGGCATGGGGCTGGCACCCACGCAGTCACCTGCGGCCCTGTGTGAGTGAAGGCTGAAAAGCTCAACATCTTACTGCTTTAAGACATTTAGTAACAAGGTTGATGGAAAGAATCAGAATCAGTAATAAAAAGGAAGAGACTATTCAAATGATGACTTGAATGGTTTTGCAGAGCCTTATTCCTAAAAATGCCAACCTCTAATTGTTGCCTATTATCCCACTTCCTTAGTACAGTGTTCTCAAAAAGACAAAGCAACAGTGACAAGGAAAAGTTACTTGCAGTCAATGGACGTGTGTGTGTGTGTGTGTGTGTGTGTGTGTGTACACACACACAGGTGCACAAGCAAGCACAGAGAGGACAACATGAGGAGGTTCCTAGGAGGTGCCGGGGCAGGTGCAAGTCTGGGCTGTGATGCGGGGTTACAGAGCCTGTGTGTGCGGTATCCTGCCTAACACTACGTGCATATGCACACACACAAACCCAGCAGGGCCACGCGTCTGGTGCAGCGGCCTGGCTAGCAGTACTGTACCAGCGTGCGTTTCCTGGTATTTCTGCTTCTGATTTGTATTCACGTTACATAAAATGTCCCCGACAGGGAAAGCAGGGCAATGGCTGATGAGGCTCTAAGTTATCATTTCTGCAACTACCAGGGTGTCTGCAATTATTTCAACAAGCGTGAAAATGTTACAAATGGGCCACAAACACTGCAGAAATCAAACACCAGTAGTGAGATAAAACCACTTACTGTTTCCAGGTAAAATGACTGATTCAAATTTGCATTTAAGCTTTTTAAAATGTTAAAACTTGAAATTACGCACTTCAAAGCTTTTAAAATAAGATTCATGGAACTAATAGTAACTGTACAGAAAGCAATCAACAAAAAGTAATTCCTGAGGTCGTGCTGCCTCATTCCCGGGGCGTCTGGAAGACGCTGGTTCCGCAGCCTTACCTCTCTCGGTGATGTTAACGGAGAGCGCCGTCTCTGACCGCCCCAGCGGGTTGCGAGCCTTCAAGGTGAAGTTGTAGATCTCCTGACTTGGAACCACTTGAAATAACAACTGATAGCTTTCATTTATAGGCGCGTCAACTCTTTTAAATCTGACATACTTTCCTGAAAAACTGAATTAAAAGGAAAATAATTTCAAAATGACAGGAGATTAAACTATAGCAGGAAAAAGTGAGTGGGCAGAGTTGTAATAATTAGTCTTTGTACAAAGTTTGTATTTCTGATGACTGATGTGTGACATCCTCAGACAAGAAAATGCGTGTAATTCAGAAGGCAGAGAACGCTGTCACAGGTCGCCCAGCCAGACGCAGATGGCTGGCACCCTGCACGGCTGGGAAGAGGAAGCACATGGCCCAGCGTGGCCGCACACAGGACCGGCAGCATGTCCGATGTTATATACTGTAATTCAGTGTTTTGTATCTTTCTCCTAGAAATAGACTAGACGTCCCTGTCATTCAGCATGTGCCTCCTGTGCCTGATTCCAGCTGCCCGGCTCCCGTACCTTTCAGACAAGGTGTAGCTGGTGTTCCGCGGGCCCACCAGTGACGTCGCTCTCCCCGGGCTCCAGGTGCACGTGATCTCCCGTAGGTCGTGTGTCTCACAGCTCAGTTTCTGAGGGACGTCGGGTGGATCTGACGGGGAAAGGAAAACGATGGGGCCAGGATTACAGGCATTCTCCCTCATAGCATTACCACCGGCAATGTTCCTCAACACAAGATGTAGCACACCACGTGTTTTACTTTGGAACCACGCCAGGCTTGTCAAACTTTCAAGCGTGTTTCATCAGAGGCCCCACGGCGTCAGAACTGAGGAATTACAACAAACTGGAAAGTGACTCGCAGCTCCTATGGCAACCTCCGACAGGATTTTCAAAGACCCACTGCCCTTACATTTGTTATTTAAAAGGTGAAGATCCACTGTGCTATTCAGAGATTTTGTGTAAAATCATTACAATTCTCTCATTACTGAAGAAGGCGTATCTTATTTAGGTGAGAAACCAATCTGCACAATTCCCAAAACACTCTGGATGAAGGAATGTTAGACTAACTAGCACTGATCCGACAAACGCCTTTAAGTGAGCATTTAAACATTAGCAGCTGGAGTTTCGAAACCTTCACCAAATTCACAGAAGTTACACAGAGGTAGGTGGAAAACAAGCTTCACAGTCATGTCACAGCATGCAGAAGTGGGAGGCCTTTGCCTATCACTATATATGTGACAGAACAAAGAACTAAGAAAGAAACAGAACTAACTACCAGAACCAATGAATGACATTCTCACGGAGGACAAACAGGTTAACAGGAACCCTCTCTTGAAGACTCTATACTTACATCCTGCAAAAATCACGGTTCCAAATATGTTATCTTCTGTTGTGAAGACCACGTTAGTTCCACTGTTTGCAGAAGCAGAAATATTATGGATCCTGATAGCAACGTTTTCTCCATCAAGATGAATCAGGGGACAAATTGTTTGGCCGATCTGTGCTGACAACACTTTTTCTTTACTTACACAACAAAACGTTACATCTGAGCCTATTAGTACCACTCTGTCTTGAGGGAAAACCTTGGTGGGGGAATCAGAAATCCCTGGAAAGAACAGAAGGCATCATAAATATTTCAGTCTTTCATGTAAAACAGCCTCCACAGACAGAATTTCTCATAACATTCTTTAAAAAAAAAAAACAAAAAACGAAAAACCAGCTCAGGAAATGCCCCACACACTGTCAGATACCTCCTAACAAATGGCTCCCCAGGAGATGGAGTATGTCCCCAGGATTTCAAAGCAGTAAATCACACACAAGAAACAGCAGTGTGTGTGTTTCCACCTGTTTGTGAAGGAGTGATGGCGGGGGAGCAGAGGTGGATCATGGGCTGCCTTCTAAGGTCACAGGTTAAAGCCTGTGAATTCTCAAGGTTCCAGTTCATGTACTTAAAGACACGTGAAAAATACCCACACTAGTAAAGAATCACTCATTAACTAATTCAATTCCTTCTAATTATTCCTTCTAATTATTTTAGAGAAGATTCCTGACTTTCCATTGGTGTAAACAGATGTTCAAGTACTCCACTACCTCCAAAAGCAATTTTTCTGTACTCCTTACTCTACAGTTTAAAGTCACACCTTCTGCAGTTCCTATCAAAAGCCAATCTTTTCCATTATTTCGATTTTCCTTTCACACATGTACTCTTTTTGCCACCTGGCTTCTTCCAACACTCAGACAGCTCAACTCCATGGCTACTTCTTAGGAACCTTCCCCTTCGATGGGAAGTTGTCTTTTCTAAAATTCCTCCTCTATGGCAAGTTTAGAAACCTTCCTGGGCCGTAACCCTCTGGCTATGGGTCTCTCTTGCACCCCATCCTTAACCATCTATAGTTCTCTTGACTGTCCTTGGCCCCCATACCTCTCTCCACACGTTACGACCTCAGGAGGAAGCAAACACGTCATACACATGTACACGTGGAGGATGCACTAGTCCACACCCGCAGCACAGTTCCTCACCTGGAGGCCCCGTTCCAGCCCCAGCTCCCTCTAAGCCTCACTGCCCAGTCACTGCCACATAAAACAGAAGGCTCCCCTTTCTGCCTGGTGGTTCACAGACTGTCAGTGTCAGCGAACGCGGCCAGCAGCCAGCTGCTTTTGGTTCTACTCCTGTCTTGTCGAACAGTCCCGGCTGATGACTCCAGCTCGCTGCATGTTCTCACCCCTCATCTCACTGCCAGTGTGCCTTCCTTACTGACCCACCTGCTTCCAGTCCATCCTTCCTCTCCTTCACTTCTTACACAGTTATGACAGTGGTCTCCCTAAGGCACTCACCAACTTCTTTCAGGACTTCATTTGACTGTCCATGACTGTCCTGTCCCTGCCCCACACTGCCAACATTCTACCTGTGGCTTTCATTTAATGCACAGATGATGCCTTGTGTGTCAGTGGACTGCCTGGTCTACCAATACCTCTGGCAGCCTCGCAGGTCTGTATTGTGAACCAGAGAGCAAGGCAGATAGGCACAGAGATGTTCTTTGCCAGCTCACTCCCCCAGTGCACGCAGAACCCAGAGCCAGGCCAGGAGCTCAACCTGGGTCTCCCACATGGGTGGCAAGAATCCAATTACTTCAGTCACTGCCTCCCAAGGTGCCCATCAGCTAGAAGCTGCACCAGGGAACACAGCCGGAAGCCAAACCCAGGCACTGCAATGTTGGACTCCAGCACTCCAACTGGATTACCTGCTAGGCCAAATGTTCACCTCTTATAATCATTTTTAAAGTAGATTTTATCTCATCACCATATACATACAATTTTTGGTTATTCTCCAGTGCCCACCACAGTGATTTCCCAACTTGGATATGTACCCAGTTGCTCAGTTCTTCAAAGACAGACTTGTGCAGTCTACCTCAATTACTTAAATCAATGCCTCCTGGCAGGGTGGGCTTGGCAGTGACTGGTGACCCTCAGGCAGCCAACAGCAGCTTAGAAAGCAGAGATTAAATTAAACCATACCTGTAAACAATACTAATTCATTTACCACATACACACAAATGTCTAATACAAACTTACCAGAAACGTTCTTCACTGGGCTCCAATCACTCCACTCTTTGTGACCAGAGAAATGAAGGTCATCAATGTAGCGTCTGATTGTCACAAAGTGAGTGACGCACTCCAACGGCATGTCCGAGGTCCAATTCCAATGATGAAGTTTATCTCTACCACTTAGGGTTGTGTTGTAGGTTGCCTAGAAGTGAACACAAACACAAAACCGAATATCCAAATGCTAGTTTGTTCAGCTTTCATCAAGGACCAGGAAATAGTAAACTATACAATTATCAGCTAAGTTAAAGCTTTGTCCTTTTGTAAAAACACTTGTTTTCTTTAATGCCTAACAGGATTCATTCATGTTCACTACAGAGGTAGGTCCTATTACATATGTATTAGCAGGTAAGATGATGAGGGTCTTCAAAATATTAAATATGGTAAAGGGTGGTGCTTGGCTCAGTGCAAAGGATGCCCACATCCCACAGTGCAGTGCCTGGTTCAAGTCCTGGCTGCTGCACATCCAATCCAGCTTTCTGTCAATGAGCTCTCTGGGAAGCAGCAGGTGTCACCCCAAGTTCTTTCCTGCCACCCATGTGGGAGGCTCAGGTGGGGCCCTGGACTCCTGGTTTTGGGTTGGTTCAGCCCTAGTAGCTTGGAGAAATTTGGAGAGTTCCCTCCGTCTGGTTTCAAATAAAATGAAAATAAAGACTGATTAAAAATATAGTATACAACAAAATGTGACACTGTCTGATATCCTTTTTCATGGTTAAAAAAAAAAATCAGGGGTTTGTATTTCCAAGAATCAAAGTCAAAGAAAGGAGGACAATTTCAGCAAAATTGTTTTCTACATAAGCATCCTGTATTTTAAACTTTATTTTTAAATATACATCTCATAATGACTATAAAGTATTAATCTCAATTGTGAGAAGCAGGCAAGAAAATGCTTCGGGACATTTGGTTAAAGATAATCCACAAACGTGCTTCCCTGTCTCTATTCGCTGCCCTCGAAACCAACGACAAATGATCCCTAGGAAATCCATATCGATGCTCAAGCACAAAAACTCAAGGTTTGAAGAAACACGAAAATTTCAGAAACCTGAAAGCAGGATGGCCAAGCGGAACCCACTCTGACACTCTGGTGTGAAAAGCTAGGATATGACCTGGCTCCTATGACGGAGACATCAAGGAGTTCAGCGATAGCTGTCCCAGGACAGCCTGGAAATGCAAGGTGAAGGACTGCTCAACGCAGAAGATGGCCTTTCCTAAAGCCACATCTTCTACACCCCTTGCTGCTAAGAGACCGCCCATGTTCACCTTGGCAGAAGAATGGAGACTAGGGTCCTGGAAAACTGAAGCCGAACACCTCTGGATTGAACACTCTTCAGAGGAGCTGAGGATGGAGACCACCTTGCAAACCCAGGGGACTGCTGAGATATGGGGGCATCGCTGCCCCTTCCCTACTCAGCTTCTGGGACCCTGGTAGCCAGATTCCCACCACCAAATAAACTTGTCTGGAGCCAGTGAACAGGGCAGAGAACACCTAAAATACATCCCTAACCACCCTCTACAGAAGCCGAAAGGCAACAAGTCCACCGAGCTGAACCATGGTTCCCATCAGATCTTCCCTATTTTTTAAAGAAACTCTCAGTTGAAATAATAGCAACAATTAGGATGACCAAAAACTGTATAAGATTGTAATAAACTGCAATGATGGTTGCTGTTTTAGGAAAAATACAATTACGCTGCTAAAAAGAACAAACAGTAATGACTCTAGGTAGAAAATAACTGTGTTTACTATCTTATCTGAGAATATAATCAGGGAAATAAACTGTAAAATCTGAGATGCTCTTATAATGATGCCTACTCCACATCTATGAGGGAAGATGAATGAAAAGCTAAAGGCAAAATTGCTCTGGACCAGATGTCACACTTGGCGACACTGCTCCTCGGCATCCCTTAGAATAAGAGCATACTACACACAGCTCGTCAGGCAACTAAGCGCTCCCAGGTTCTGAGTATCTGAGAGGGAAAAGCAGGCACTAAACTCAACAACATTATTTCAGGGTCTGATACACTTAGGTCCACAGATTTATATAAATTTTTTTCACCTCCCCATATCCTGGGGAGTTCTCTGTCTCTCAAATGAATAATCTGTTCAAAGGCTGGGCCAGATGCACAAAGAAAAAGAAAATACTGTGTTGAAGTGGCTTATCCTTCCCTTCATTTCCTGAACCTCTAATAAGAGTTGTGCATTACCGTGATACATAATTAACAAGTGATGTTCAAATCACATCTGATTACTCTCTGAATAATTCAAAAGCTCGTTTGACACAGCCTTTCAAATGTTTTTAACAATTATTATTTTTATTATTTTAATGGCATAGGGAAAAAAAATTCCTACGTTTGTTAGAACTTACTAATTTGACGAGCTCCAAACTCTGTTTCCGGAGCACTTTGATCTCCCAGGTGACAGCCGAGCGGTGGGGAGTGACGGAGCCCCTGTCATTCCACTGCAGAGATAATGTGGAGGTTGAGAAATCTGCAGACACATTCAAGATCTCGGGGGGATCTGGAATGAAGGCTTAAAAAAAAAAAAAGGAAAGAGAAAAATTAGTTAAAACAGCCTTTTTCCAGATTAATTTTGAACTATGCCTTTTTAAGGACAATCATGAATTAAAAGTGAATTCTTAAAACAAATGGAAAACAAAAACTCTATTAGGTGGCTCCCAAAAATTAATTAGGCCAACTTGAGAAAATCACTGATCAGACATTCTCTAACACAAACGGCACCGGAGTTCTTACCATACTCTCATGTCATCAGGCTGGGGACCTTCTGGCCGGCTGCAGGCCAGGCCTTACAACAATGGCAAGGACTTTCTCAACCAGTGGGGCCACAGCTCAACAGGCTACTCCTGCACCCTGTGGCACCAGCATCCCATATGGACACTGTTTTTCGTCTTGGCTGCTCCACTTCCCATCCAACTATCTATGAACGGGAAAGCAGTGGGAAGATGGCCAAGATCCTTGGTTCCTTGCACCCAAGTGGGAGATCTGGAGGAAACTGTTTGCTCCAGATCAGCTCAGCTCTAGCAGATCTCAATGATTAAGTCACTGCAGAGATGGTGGAATACAAAAAGTGCTTCAAGAAGGTGCATTTAGCATGCAGCAGACAACTCCATTTACAGGTGAGTTTGACTTGGTGAGAAGGAGATCAACAGGAGAGCCTGGAGAAGTCCTGCCCACAGCGGTAAGGGTATGGGCTAAGATGCCATAGAGAACAGGAAGGACAAAATCTGATGGACAGTTCAGGGAAACAATGCTGTCGAGGAAACGAAGAACTGGCTCAAGGAGAAAGGAGACACACTATTATCTCAGGGTTTCCAGCCAGAAAGCAGCAAGGAAGGCCAAAGGAATCAGGAACTGCTCTGCAGAGCAACCGAGGCGAGCTGTAAGTGACTGCATGTCAAGGGAGGAAGAGGCCAGCAGGGAAAAGGGCTTGTGCAGAGAGCACAGGGACACACAGCAAGCCAATGACCCATGGATGGTCGGAGCGACTCGCTGGGCACAACTGCAGTAAGGCACGGACGTAAAACAGCCCAAGTTCAAGATGCTGCCACTAAAAAGTTATGCCTTCAAGGAGCCAGAGAAACCAGCAAGAGCAGGTGGGGAATGAAGCAGCAGCAGCAAGAAGCAGAGGAGATCCAGGATGAGTGAGGACCAAAGCAAGGGGCTGTTATCTGGGCTCTGGGGAGAGGAGGAGCTGAGAACTGCCCCCGCCAGGACAGAGCAAGAGATGGGGGAAGACTTCTGCGCTGTGCGACCATGCACGCTCAAACATATGGCCGTCTCATGGGGAGAAACGGCTACAGGGACACACAGCAAAGCAGGAAACTGTCCTTGGGCAACTTCAGGTCTCCCTATCCAGAGGGACAGGCAAATTCACGACAATGTGGGGTCAGTGCGAACAAGCAACATCTCATGCTACAAAAGTGGGGAAGAGACGGGGAGGCACTTGTGTGCTTTCTCTTTGGCGACAGCAGAGTGACAGCACCTAAGAAGAAAGCCTGCTTCTGTGGAAGGCATTCGCTGTGCAGCTCAAGGATGAGTTTTTAAGTCACAGTAAGTGCATGTGACTGTGCACGTCGGGCACGTGAACGTGCCACACCAAAAACCATTAGTCTTCAAGCTAAGTTCTTACAACAGATTTAAGTACAATTTGGTCAAGACAGTACTCTCTAGAAGCTTTGCTTATCTGGAAGGGAGAAGACAGGGAATGGCCGTGGGGAGCTGGAGGGGGCAGGGAAGAGAGGAGAGTCTGATGGCCCACCTGCTGGTTCATTCCATATGCCTGCAAGAAACACAGCACAGACGCCTGAAACTCCACCCAGGCCTGCCACGTGAGCGGCAGGAGCCCAAGCACTTGGGTGATCATGCATGAGTGGCAAGATGATCAGAAGCAGAGCTGGGACTCCACTCCAGGCATGCTGCCTCCCAACCGGCAGCATCACGATGCCTGCAACTCAGCATTGAATTTCTACAAAGTGTTTAGTCTGTCCAGCACCCAGAACAGGCAGCCCTCAAGGCTGCACCTTGCAACACAGCTCTACAAGGCAGCAGGGATACGCCATCGGAGTTTTAGGTGGGACACTCGTTACAAAGGAAAAAGTGAGAAACAGCAAGCTGATATGCTGCCAGAAGCATGAAAGGTCAAGGTGCCTGAGGGGGGCCTTCTAAGAACCTGCTGCTGCTTCCAAATGATTCAAGATGTCATGATGCAGAAATTTGAAAACTGCACAATGCCAGAGCACTTTGCTAAAGCAGTATTCATCTGCCCTCCTTGACAAGTCCACATAATGTACATTTTATCTAAATAGCAGTGGATTACTCTTCACAACCCCCTGCTTGGAGGCTTTCCAACCGGCACAGGTACAAGCAGCTGAGCACATGGGCTCCCACGGGAGAGGGGGCTCGGTAGGCCTCCAGGACCACCCCATTCCAGAAGTTACGCTTTTTTTGACCTTCATGGATGCCGGTAGCAGCAGGGCCTGGTGCCAAAGGTATTGGGTAAAGCCCCTCAGGCCGCCTGGGGGTGCACCCTCACAGAGTGTCTTGATTTACAGGGGGATGATGGGATCACACAAGTGGTAGTGAGAGATGACCTGTGGTTTTTATGCTCAGGTTAGGAATTACAATTGAGAGACTTCCATTGTTAAGTTCAAGACATGTGTATGTATGCAAGGGACCGACACCAACGTGGTTTGGAGGGGAGAACAAGAGTGGGAGGAGTGGATCTGATAGCAGATCCTGTGGGGGCAATGTGGGCTCACCCCGTGGAACTGCAATCTTCTGGCTCCTCTTAGAACTGCAGATGGGGTCAGGCCTTGCTGGGGAGCTAAGGGAGAGCCCCAGCTGGGTTGGGGTTCCCACTGGTGAGAACAAGAGTAGGACTGGGGGAAGCAGGTGTTGCTGTACATGGCACCAGCATGGGTGTGCACTGGGAAAGTGGAGCGACAGACTGGGCTTAACTCCAGCCCCCAATGGTACTCATGAGAGCCAGTTTGGGTATAGAACAGGCCAGACTAGGTCTTGACTCATGCTGTGAAAACTGTGTCTGGGCATGGACCAGGTAGCGCTGGGCTACAACAACCAAAGAACCAGAATGGGTGTGGCTGAGCAAAGCCACTGTTCTTGCCAGGACAGGAGGTGGACACAGTCAGCCTGGGCCAACGACCCACTGATGTGCACAAGAACTGTCACTGGGAGGAGACTTGATGGAGAAGCTTGGGAAACTCCTTCACTGGGATGCAGACCCTGCAGGAGAGCACAAGAAGCAAGGCAAGATAGCCCAGACAACACCAGGTTATAGTACCCACCAGCACGCATGTGGGTCAGGTCTGAGGACAGACCAGTCTGGGCGAACACCCACCCAATTTCCCCTAAGCATTGATTCTTCCCACCCTGATCAACCATGTAATCATTATTTGAAAAATAAATAAATACAAGTCCAGCCAACCTTTCAAGCTAATGACACTAAGCCTTCATCACAACTGATTTTTGACAAACCACTGCTCCGTCCTTTTCACGTAGCCATCTGCATTTCTTTTCAACACCGACATTTGAGGATGGTGCTGCAAGCTAGCTTTCTAAGAACACAGAACTCTCTGGCTAGGAAAGGCATTTAGTTAGTGTTTCTGAAGCTAGTGAGGCTTCATCTGTAATTTACATGGTCTCTCTTCCTTAGAATAACAGGAGAGAGGAGCCTTCCCTGGACTTTATTTTATTTATTTTTTTTTAAATAGGACCTACATTATTTATTCTGCCTCACAGTGATCCAAATTTTCAGGTTATTTTAAGAAACTTAGACATTGTAAGTCTTAGGAAGGTTTTTTTTTTTTTTCCATACTTTCCCTTGGTGCACTGAATATTTACAATGTGTGTGTTGATAAAACCTTTGCTTTCTATGTACATTTCTGAAGTTGCCTGCAGATCTAGAGAAAACACAGTTTCTCCTACTTGCTTTTAGGAGCAAATGTTAGCCAGCCTGGCCCCTTTACTGCACAGCGATGGCACCGCAGTACCCCAGGGCTTCCCCCATACATCATCAGGTGCTCCAAGAGGGGCTGATGCCCTGCTAGGGTCTGAAGGCCCACGCCCTCCTAAATTCATTCATTGCACTTGGACCCCGGAGCCACAGTGGGAAGGGCGGGGCCTGTGGGAGGGGCCTGGGCCCAAGTCTGCAGGAGAGGCCTGACTGCCCGGCCCTCTGCACAGGAGCAGTCTCCCCAGCCTCTGCTGAACTGAGGATCCACTGTAAGGAATCAAGAGACTGAGACAGGCACCCACCCTCCCTTTCTGACTCACTGTTATTCTTTAAAACGCTACCTGTAGACCATCTGCTGTATGAAAAACAAGCATCTCCTAATCGCCCCTCACCCAGAGTCTGTCTTGGTTTGCCTTCACTTTTATTTTTTTACTCTAACACTACCATTTTTCAAATAACTTCCCGGACAAGAACTTCCGTTGCCTACTACAACGATCAGGCAACACAAACTGGCACTCTTGACAGATGCCAGGAAATTTTCAGAATTTGCATTAAAATTACATTATATCCTTATACTTTCATCACAAAATTACAAAATAATTCCAGATGGCGGAAAGATTTAAATCAAACATGATAGCAAAATCACAAACACATGAATAACAATGGCAAGAGATTCTATTACACAAAAATGCAAACTAGAGGAATGAAAGTATCACTTTTAAAAACTATAAACCAAAGGAAAAACACTGGCAGCAAATATGACAGTAATCATAATGTGGAGAGCGTGCCTGTGAACTGATGAGGGAAATGCTGAGAAACGCTGCTGCTGAGCGAGGCTTCCGAGTTGTCACAGGAATGAGAAAAAGAAAGGTGACAGTGATACAACTTGGGGCCAACACATTAGAAATGCAAAAATAACAGACGGGTGCTGCCTGGCCTTGATGTAATGTGGGACAGCACGGACACGGACAGGATGTCCACGGAATGTGAAGACAGAAAGGTCTTTGGAGAACTGTTTCACAGTCGTATCTGAGAAAGGGAATGCTTTCAACCTAGATTTTAATTCTGGAAATTTAGTTTAAGTCACTTGAACAAATCCATACACATGCATGTGCAACACATGTTCATTAAAGCACAGGTTATATTAAAAACTGGAAATAAAATCATTATAATAGATTCCTTTAAATAATTCTACAATCATCTGATGGGATACTATCTATCCATTGAGAAAATACATTGGGGCTGGCACCGTGGCAAAGGGCGTTTAGCACCAGCCTGCAGTGGCTGCATCCCATACAAACAGGGCACCAGTTTGTGTCCTGGCTGCTCTACTCGGGCTCCAGTAACCTGCTAAGGCACCTGGGAAAGCAGAGGAAGATGGCCCAAGTACTTGGGGTCCCTACACCTACATGGGAAACCTAGAAGAAGCTCCTGGCTCCTGGTTTCAGCTTTGTGGCCATTTGGGGAGTGAATCTCTTCTCTCTGTTCCCCCTTCTCTTTCTGTAACTCTGCCTTTCAAATGAAAACTTAAAAATTAAATAAAAACAATGTACATTTGCATAGAAATCTGAAAAAACCTATTACATTTTGCAGGTTGTAAAGAACTCTGAACCCTGTAACAAACAGGGAAAATCCACTTAAGGATGAACAGACACAGACCACCTCACACAGACATCCTGTTCATGCAATTAGACAAAGCACCAAGCCAGCTGTCTTGTCTTTCCCTGGCTTCAAAGCCAGTCACCCTTTCAGAACTTGCCATGACATCACTACAATGCCACTCCACGACAACAGTCCACAGCTGACAAAGGTCAAGACTGCTTGGGTCTTGCTGCAGAGCAAAACGCCCATCTTGGTCAGCCTGGGTTGACCGTGCAATCCTAATCTTCCGTGGCCTTGGATCTAGACACCCCATTAACAGGTTTGTAATGCATGCTTGCCTCGTGTGCAGCACTATACCCAGTGCCCAGTGTGGGAGACAGAGCCCTGCCCTCCTCCTGAAGGAGACACTCAGCACACAGCCACCTGGTAAACTGTGTCCCCAGGGGTGCACAGCTAACATGACGCTCATGTGGGGACAGAAGCTCCTTTGGCATGGGTGTTCAGTGAGTACTGTCAGAGTGAGGGGTGCCTGAGAAACCCTGGAACTCACACACGGGACTCAAGGAGGCCAAAGGCAGAGTACTGACCGGGGGTGGGGTTGGAGGGACCTCAAATGCTGGGGGAGGTGGGTGTCTGTTTTGGTTGACCAGAAGCCCAGTTGGCTTCCTTCCTCTCAACCTATAATGAGGTTGCTAAGAAAATGAAAGAATTAGTGTAACAAATGAAACTCAAAGAACAGGAAGCTTCTGCCAGCTACACAGCAACATAATACTAACAGCAATATTATTCACTCTTCAAAGCTTCTTTCCAAATACTTACAAACATTTTTTTCATTTAGTGTGAATCTGCTTCTAGAACTCCCCAAATCGCTGTGAGAACTAATGGTTACTATGTGATCACCAGTTGAAAGAGCTGGGATTTTAACATTCGCTTTCTCAGAATGATAACAAGAACGGGACCTGCAATATAATAAGTCAAATTTTAATCAGATAAAATGACTAGTGTAATTTTCATAAAAATCTAACACAACACACAATGAAAATACCTTAGACTGCTTCAGATATAAAACCACGTAGGTAGAATTGTACTTTAAGACTGAACAAAGAGGTTAGTAGTAATTTTGCCAGTGGGGTGGCAGCAAGCGTAACTGGCTTGTACCAAAAAGTAAGGCAAGTAAACAGAAAGGGGGCCGCCCAGACTTGGGAGTGTAGCTGCTCTGGTGCCCCTCAGCCTTCCCTGGCTGCCTGCCCCCTTGACACTGACCCTGGGACATCAGCCCCAACACAGATCCTCAGGCTGAGGGTGACTGGGGGAGTGGTGCTCAGGGAAGCAGCAGAATGCCCACCTGTCACCTTGCTAAACACCTCCTCAATGGCCCGCTCCTCTGCCTTGGGTCATGGGTGATTAAAATGTCCACACTGGTGCCACTTTCCAAACACTCCCAGTTCCCCAGTCGGGGCCTCGTAGACAAAACAATATTTTCCTGTCTTGTCCCACAGCCCTTTGTGTTTCTATAGGGCAGGTTTACATTCTTTGTAGGATTATTCATGTTGGCTTCTAATTTCTCAAGGAAGCTCTCCCTGGGGCAAAGGGAATGCCGGAGCCTCCTGTATTCCTACCCCGACCCACCACCAGCACAGGCCTCAGCACCAGCATGGGCCCTGGCAGGGCTGGCTCAGCCGCATCTCGACTCGCACAGCTTAGGCACCAGCAACCTGAAAGCACTCAAATTCTTCAAACTGTTCTACAGTACACGTGCAAGTTCCAGTACCCGCCCAGGCTGGGGCATCCTCACGCCCTTCTAAAGGCTGAGAATGAAATGTGCAGATCCCGGCCAGCACCTGAGCCTCTCATTCTAACTATTTGTTACAGACTAACTTCTTTCTCAGGGTGGCTTGTGGTGGGCACCTGTGTTATTTACCCAGTCTCAGGCTTTCCCCCTTCTGCACCCACAGTCCTTCTGAAGCAACGCAGGGCCACAGAAAGTAAAGTGACCACTGAGTCCATCAGTCCAGGAAGGAAGCTCTCAAAGCCAGTGCAGCTATGTCCCTTGTCTTTCTTCTGCCACCAGCCTGCTAAAACCTGGTGTTCCAAGAGACAGACCTGGGCATGGATCCCGGCTGACCTCCCCCGGACAAGGGACACAGCAGGAAATGGCCAGGCTCTGAAGGTTGTTTCTGCAACACAAGCCAGCTTGTCCCTTGGCCAATATACTGCCCTGGTGCTAAGAGTGATGCTACATAAAGACACACTGAGTGGGGCGGGATCTGATGGATTAAAATGCACATGGATCACTTCTACCTTAGGCCCATTTATCAGCAAATCAGCTGGGAGAGCCAAGCTGAACGCCTCTGGCACTGCTAGGCAACCCAGGGCCTGCAGATAGGAATTAGGGGAAAAGCCAACAGGAACTGGTCCAGAGAGCAGGCAAGCCCCAGGGCTCCACTCTAGCTCAGAAGCTTCTAACCTAAGACGACTTGGGAGGAGAGGGCAAGGTGGCATGATGGAGCCTGCCAGCCACCTGCTAATGGTTACTCCCCTTTCCTTTTCCCTAGTAACAGGGAACCCAACCCAGGGTTTCCTGGGCACACTGCCTCCACCGGCTAACAAGATGGACTTCCCAGCTCTGTTAACTGCTTTGGGCATCAGACTGGGTTCTGACCATTGAGATGAGCAAGTCTGTTAGAGAAAGGCATCGTTTCTTGTTCCCTCCTGCTTCTTGGGATGCAGACATGACAAGGCTCCCCCAGCACCCTGTGATCTGTGAAATCACACAATTGAGATGGCAGGAAAGCAAAAAGCAGGAACTGGGCCTCTATGGCTATAGCCAACATGCCAGCCTGTGTCTGCCCTAAACCTTCAGTCAGACAGTGAATGCCCGTGTGCTGAGATGCTGTACCCAGCCTTTCCTGGCAGGCACAACCTGGGGTAGACCCAGCTGCCACGGGTGGTCCTGGCTGGGACAGACCAGCACACTCCCCCAGGGCACAGGTGTACTGGAGGCGTGTGGCACACTGTTATGCAGTCAAAGGACCAAAGCTCTGTTTCCACCTTGACTGATATCAGATCCAAAGAACAAGATTCAAGAAACAGAGAGCTAAGAGTCAGAATTTTATGTTTTTAGATTCCAGAATAAAACCTCTGCATTCTAAAATCAGGGCCCAGAGACACTCTTGGTTGTAGCTGTAAATTCATAAAAGAATTTCCATTACCTGTCTTCAACGCAGATTTCGTACTGGGTCCCATGACTTGTTCCAGAGGGCATATTCCAGGAACAGTCCCATATGTCAAAATTGTTAGTCACACACTTCAGCTCCCGAGGGGACCCTGCAGAGGAAGGAACACGTGTTCACACCCAAGAAGTACTGGCTAAGCCAGCGGCACCTGCACCGTGCCCAGCTCTCAGCAGACACTGTGCTGCAGGGCCACGGTCTCTGCTCAGAGATGATCTTGCAGTCTCAGGTATGTTGATTTCTAGCATAAACTCAAGAATGCTAGAGAGTAAAGGGATGAAAGCCAGCCAGCTGCTGGACCATTCTGAAATTTAGGTTCCAGCAAAGACTCCGCTTCCAGGCAGCTAATAGAAGGAGAGACTTAAGGTGCAGATTCAGTAAGGCCAAGACACAGGCTGGAGGACTTGAGCACCTCTGCTGGCTCCTCCCGCAGCGCCATTTATGGAATGGAAAGGGAGGAAGGGGGCAGGGACAGGGAGAGAAAGACAGGAAGGGAGGAAGGAACGGAAAGGAAGAGAGAGAGAGAGAGAGAGAGAGAGAGAGAGAGAAAGGGAGAAAGGAAGGAAAGAAAGAAGGCAGGCACGGAGGGAGGAGGAGGAAAAAAAAAACAATGTGTCTCATACACTCCCATCCAGCTCCAAGCACCCTAGTTTCTACGACCTCACTTTTGCCCTGGTGTCCACTGTTGCCCACTGTGGTCTCCCTGATGCCCACTGCGGCCCCACTGACGCTCAATGCGCTTCACTGCTGCTACCTGACACAGAAACCCCACTGCTGACCTTCAGGTTGCCAGTAAAATAGTACTGAGTTCCTACTAGTAAGTGGAGTGAGCCTGAACAACTGAACACCAAAATCAGAAGACTGCAGGGGCTGGTGTTCTATCTTCCACCCCGTGGCGCCGGCATCCCATATGGGCGCTGGTTCATGTCCTGGCTGTTCTACCTCCCTTCCATCTCATTGCTGTGGCCTGGGAAGGCAGTAGAGGATGGTTCAAACTCTTGGGACCTAACACTCACATGGGAAACCAGCAAGAAGCTCCTGGCTTCAGATTGGCTTAACTTGGCTGTTTTGTGGCCATTTGGGGAGTGAACCAGCAGATTGAATACCTTCTCCATCTCTCCTTCCCTCTCTTTCCAATAAAAATAAATTAAAAAAAAAAAATCACAATTCTGGGCCCAGCGCAGTAGCCTAGTAGCTAAAGTCCTTGCCTTGAACGTGCCAAGATCCCATATGGGTGCCAGTTTATATCCTGGCAGCCCCACTTCCCATCCAGCTCCCTGCTTGTGGCCTGGGAAAGCAATTGAGGGCGGTCCAAAGCCTTGGGATCCTGCACCTGCGTGGGAGACCCAGAGGAGGCTCTGGGATCCTGACTTCGGATCGACACAGCTCCGATCGTTGTGGCCACTTGGGGAGTGAATCGTCGAATGGGAAGATCTTCCTATCTTTCCTCCTCTCTGTATACCTGACTTTCCAATAAAAATAAATCTTTTTAAAAATTATAATCCTGATAATAGCTACACCTGTGAAATATCATGACATAATAAGTAGACTGTATGAGCAATGCAGAACAAGATTACCCCGGAAGGGAAGAAGGAAGAAGGGCAGGCCAAAGAGGAAAAGGAGCAAAGGACCAGGACACGGGGGAAGGCAGGGAAAAACCACTGCTGGGTGAAAAGTACTCTAGCCTATATTCTCTGTGAATGCTAATGCAAATGGCCTTTCTCTTGCATTTTTACACAATGTTAGGATAATACCAACAGCAGAAATAAATTATAAAGCATTTACATAAGACACAAAGCAGCAACGCTGCACTGGAAGCAGTCACGTTAAGATCAGCAGTCGTAATAATACGGCTGTTTAAACTACTGACCTTGGGGAAATAAGAGAGAACCGTTTTAATTGTGGAAGAAAATATAAAAACTAAACCAGGAGACGGCAGCAGAGCGACATCCTTTACAGATGTACGCCAGGTAAGAATCTACAAAACCATTCTTAATATACATTCAAGTCACACGAGAGTGCACACACCAGAAGACACTGAGATCTTATTTGTGCGACACAAACAGGACACAACAGTGCTGGCTGGGAGCAGGGCAGATCACAGGCACCTGCACGGGCACCTGCATGGGCATGGGCACGCTCCGACTCGTGCGTGTTCTCACTGTGCTGGTGGCCATTGCTTGCGTGAGCTGCCAAGATTACAGGAACAGATCCTAATGGGTAAACTCTACTGTATACAGGTTATGCATGAACTTCTTCATGAGGTTGGGGGAAAATCTGAAAGTACATAGGAAAAAAGTTACAGAAAAATATATTTTTAAGTACCTAAAGCTGGGGAAGTGTTTAAGAAAGCTAAATAATCACTTCATGGTCAAAACAGAAATAAAACTGCAACCTGCTGCTTCTCTACAAGTCTCACGCACTTACCCCTCTTCTGGCCATCTGCTTGATTCATTAGGGAGCAGAGAGCAAGTGTTGACAGGAGCCACCGGACACCTGCAGGCGGCTTCATTCTTCGCTTGCTCATCCCCCAGGGCGGCCATCTCAATGCCAGGTGGACGTCCATGATGAGTGCAATGCAGTTGGTCCTAAACCAAGAGAGGGATTTCAGTCAGAGCCCACGGCTGTGGCCACACGCCACCCTGGGCACACAGACACAGAAAGCCACACTGGCAGGCTCTGAGACTGATAGATCCACACTGCTGATGCCCCGTTCTGCCCAGCACCAATGTCCGGGCATAGGCACCCACCACAGCGTCTGCTTTCCCATTCTTGGCTTCAGTTCACGACCAGCCCTATGTCCCCACTGCTCACTCTCCCCTCCAGGAGCATGAGGCATGCATCAAACCAAACTCTGATGATCCCTAACGACACGTGGGTCGACTTTCTTAATTAACACATGCTAACACCCACAATCATTCATTTATAATAATACTGCTTAGCTTTTCAACTTACATTGTAATATAAAGCTTCCCTTTCATATAAACTTAATGATTTATAAAGAAAAAAAAAGAGCGTAAATAATAGTGTGGGGGAAGACGGCAGATGCACCAAAAATATCGACGCTGGCCCAGACATGGTCACGCTCTAAGAGACCCTGGAGCAGCTATGATGAGAAAGGGACCCCTGTAGACCAGACTCCAGGGCACCCAGCTTGGACACTGTAAACCCAAGAAGCAGCAGCAACTGCTTGTTGGGGGTGGGGATGAGATGGACAGGGCCACAGCAGGGGCAGTTGCAGCATGCCATTACCAAGTTCCCAGGCACAGTCCACCAGGCACCAGTCCTCAGCCAGGCCCTGTGGCACCCATGAGGGACTGACCCTGTAGCTTTGGAGAGACAAACACCAACAAGTAAGAGACCTCAGGTGCTCTGGTGTGCTCCTGAGGGGCTGCATTCTGGGGTGAATGTTGGAGTGCCATGCCTGCCTCAGGATGAAGGTGCCCAGCCAGAAGGAGAGAGACACCAAAGGCTGCAGCCAGAGGCTCAGGCTATGCCCACCTGACAGGTGGGGCACAGATGGCAGCAGAAGAAGGGAAGGTTCAGAAAAGCAGGCTGCTGGGTCACAGGCGGTCTCTTGGCCATGAAGACGTCGAGTCAGGTGGTCAGTCAAGAGGACAAGACCTGGAGTGGTTCATCAGCAGATGCCCTCACTCCGGTGTGTGCTATGCCAGAAGTTCTCCAGCTGCTGCACAGGGCAGAGGCACCTGGAGGTGGCAGGCCCGTGGAACTCCAACGCAAGGACCGGCTCCCAGGGGTGAAGGGCAGGGCTGGGGACTGAGGGTCTGTGGGTTCCGAGCCAGTACAATGCGGCAGTTGACCACATGGCCATGCTACTTACCATGTGACCTCAGATACCCCCTAGGACACTTACAGGGAGACCCAATCCTGGCAGAGCTCAGTTCCCTCATCCATCAGGTCAGAGTGGCAACAGTATTTTATTCGTAAGTTTATTGGGGTGACCAAGTGAGGAAATACATGTACAGCCCTTGGAACAGAGCCCTTGGTAAGGTCTGCACGTGTGGATGTTGTAGGAGGCACAGAGATGAAAGGAGACAAGGAGGCTACCACGTTTGGTGGCTCATCAATCAGGGCTGGATGGCAGTGCCCTCTGAATCCTCTCTGCGGACAGGGAGGTAGGAACTGGGGCAGAGGGAGGTGAAGACCTGTTTGCATGGCTTTACTGGCTGCTCCAAGCAGAGCCACATTCCCTGGAGAGGGGGCAGGGACACACACACAGCTACCAGGAGGAAAGCCTTCCATGCTCAATGCTTGGGGGATCCCCACCTTGGGCCTGCGAATGCACTGAGAACCGCTGTGGGACCCAAGCCGGCCTGAGTGCTTACACAGGCACAGAGACCCGGACACCCCGGAACACTACCGCAAAGCACAATGCTTTAAAGCAAAGTCGGCAGAAACAGCATAACCAACAGGAAACTAAAAATTAACACTCAGAGGAAACAGATAACATAGAAACCAAGAAAAATTTAAAGGAAAAAGAAAACCCCCAAATCTCTAAATTGTCTCCCCAAACACAGCACAGCCATAAAACCAAAAGGACGGCTCGATGAAAGGAGGAGTGGACAGAAACGAAAATCGCTCCGAGAAGCTCAATACGCAGGGCTTGCTATCACAAACCACCGGAAAAGAACAACAAATAACTTATAAGAAAGCAACAGAAGAGGAAATGTGGGCACAGAGACAAGCATCAGACTTGATCGAAGGAATTGGGGACAGCATCTCGCTGAGTTCACAGACATTCTAGAAGAACCGCAGGCCTGATGGCCAAACCACTGAGAAGGGGCAAGAGGAGGACAGAGGCAGCAGGTGATCAGGACACGAGCAACAGACGCGGCCAGACTGACACCTCTAATCTGGAATCCATTACTAATTAGCCCTACGACTGTGGGCAAATCACTTAATCCCTCCCAGCTTCAGCCTCACCCAGAGCAGCAGGTAAGCTCCACGCAGAGCAAGGCTGTAACCCCGCATCCTTGCTGGCCGAAGCACCAGTAGGCAGCAGCGAATGAGCACCACCCATGGTCACCCATCGATGGACTCTACAAGGAGGCGTGCAACCCCCAAAACGGGATAATGATGATGACTTCATTTTGTCTAACACCAACATAGGAAGTTCTGAGCAAGTGTTGTAGCCAATCAGAAACCAGGAGCTTCCTCCAGGTCTCCCACATGTGTTCAGGGTCCCAAGGCTTTGGGCTGTCCTATACTGCTTTTCCAGGCAACAAGCAGAGAGCTGGAAGGGAAGTAGAGCAGCATAGACATGAACCAGTGCCTACATGGGATCCTGAAGCATGCAAGGTGAGGACTTTAGCCACTAGGTTACCACGCTAGGCCCATGCAATGTACTCTTACACTGATAATGGCATGAACATCCCTACCATACAGAGTTGTCAAGTGGACTTCTTTGAGGAGCGGAACCATGTGTGAACACAACCTTCCTACATGACCCCGGGAAAAGAAGGACGCCTGTGAGACACTCGGCTGTTTTCACAGAACGGAAACTGTGAGGACTGATTCCCCACGCCCCCGCCCCCTGACCCGGGCCTTCTTTCCAGGAGAACAACTTCTTACAGCAATCCCACAGCTAACCCTCATCACTAGCACAGCTGTCTCTTAGTGCAGCAGCAGAGTGCAAAGGCCCAGAAAAGCAGAGCAAGCAGCTAAGGAGCCCATGGTGGGGACAAGCTGCAGCCCCCTTGCCCATCTCCACACAGCAGCTTCCTGGCCTTTGCTATGCTAAATGTTCTGATCTTTCAAAACAAGGTAGAAATCTGGGGTTTGTACAAAATAGCAACATTTGTAAGCAACTAATTACTGAGCAAATAATTCATACTTTTGCAACATCCTAAAAATATTTCTGCAGACTGTACAGGTTTCCTGCCGTAGGTACTACTGTCACCACGGGGCGCTGTGAAGTTGGGGTGGAACCCTGGTCTGAGCCTCTGTGCCTCTGGGCCCCACAGCCTGTCTTGTGAAAATGGCCTGAGTCTGAGAACGCTGATGCCAGCACACATGAGGCTGGCCTGCTCTGCCTCAATTCTGACAATGCTGATCCCAGCACACGTGAGGCTGGGGGACTTCTCTGCTGAGGGTAACTGGAGAGGAGACAGGAAAGCCAGAGGTCAGAAACTGTGGCCCTGGGTGTTTTGTTTAGTCTGTCACTTCTCTTCTCTTTTTCTGGTATGGGTGCCGAGAGGGAGGACAGGTGGATGGAGAGCTGGAGGAACTGAGCCAAGCGCCTGTGGACAGGAGCACGGAGCTCGGGGAAAGAGCTGCTGAGTCAGAGGAGCAGGGAGAGATCCCAAGAGCACAGCCCTTTATCTCGACAACCTTATCTTCTGCCACTGCAGGGGAGGTAACTCCCTAGTTGTAAATTACCAAATAAACTAAACACTGAGCAGCAGCTCTGCAGGCAGAAGAGCCTTGGACCAGCTCAGCAGCAACATAAACGGATGAGGTCACCAAACCCACAGGAGACAAGCTGCTGGAGTCCACCCCAGGCAAGGGAAGTCCAGGGCGGAGCTAACGGGATGGGATCTGCACTGCCGGTTTACACTCCTTAGTGCCCAATTCGTCATCACTTCCCACAAGGGCACATAAAATCCTGTTTAAATACGTGGATGTTATCAGTCCTCCTAATCCCATCTACTCACAGGCTCTGCAGATGCACACGCAGCCAGAGCCTGGGCAGCAAACTCAACTGGGCTTTCACAGCTCTCGCCAGGAGCGCTGTTAGGTATAGTGCAGACATGGGAAAAACACCAAGCGGCAGGAACACACACCAGGGCTCAAAGGACTACACCCACCAGGATACGCTGAGAGGCTGCAAGTTCTAATCCAAGTACCGGAAGCTACATCCCAACAAAGTGACAGGGCTATCATGGGACATCTTCACCATCTGCAGCAACCAAGTGACCTCTGTCTACTACCGTGAGAATCTTGAGCTCAATGTCCTTTGCTGCTGCAACACTTGGTCATGCTTTATTCCTTTCCACAAGCAACCTTGTCCCTTTAGACATGGAAGGACCAGTGGCTGCTAGGATGAACCGGGAGAACCACTCCAAAGTCAGTGCTGAAACAGAATGCGGATGGCTGCATTAGGTAGCTTTCTGTTACAGGCCAGGTGTGAAGCCAGCAGGTTTGTTCTGGAGATTCACACAGGAGGCAGGGGACTGTGAGGCCACCTGCTGAGGGCGTGGATGGCAACGGAGCAGCAGATACAGACGAACAACCACTTCCGAAAAAGAACAAAGTCACATTCTTGCAACTGGGGGCACCCTGAACACATCAGCCAGATGCTGTGGCATGGTGGACTGCACCAGAGGCTGGCGTGACTGCCTGGGGAACCCACCACACCCACCACACCCACCACACCCACTTCAACCTACACGCTGCAAGCAGTGGAACACTATCAAAAGTTGAGTTTTCATGCATTACAAAAATCTATCACTTTTGACACTGTAGGACATCTAATAACCAAAAGAACTTCTCTGTCTATACCTGCCA